AATTTTCCCGAACGCCAGGTAACATTGGTAACGATCGAATGTGCGGGCCTGCAGGCGCTACCCGAAATAATTCGGGAGTTGCTACCCTACTTTGCGTGCAGCGCTGGCGGGTATCATGTCGGCGGCACCGGATGTCATGCGAATGTTAATTAACACTCACCAGAAGCATGTGTCAAACGTTTGTGTGGTGTGTCGCCACGCAGGCCCTCACCCCCAAACGTTTGTCAAGCGCTTGTCAACCACATAAACGTTTGGATGTGCAAACGTTTGTCAAGCGTTTGTCGGCAGTGTTGCGCATGCGAACGCACGTATGACAAACGCTTGTTCTTAAAAGCGTCAACTCCCGCTGCCCAATTTAATTTGCGCGTTATCAAATTTCGCGCGCGGTAATTATCGAATTCTCGCCCGCCGAATTCATCGATCAGCAAAACGGACCATCGTTACCGAATGCCATGCATCTGTCGGTCGGTCGCGAACGAATGCCAACTTTGCTTGTTTGCCCTCCCTTTTTGCTGGGGGCATCGGATGATTTGGGAAAGGGGCCCAAGGACACGCAAACAAATACACACAAATCCCATATTTTCAAATTTGTTCAAATACTGTTTGGGTTTTCGTTTCCCCACCCCCCACGCACACACACACACACACTTCCCACATGATCGGTATGTTCCTGGAAATCGGCGATTCCTTATGTCTGTGTGGTTTCCCCTTCTGACCTTCGTGGCTCATGAATCCAGGCCAGCCATACGGAAACAGTGAGGGTTGGCTGACCCCCGTAACGCGCGACCCGACGTGAACCTCGATTCTCGATGTCTCTGAGCCCTCTATGCCTCACAAGGTCGACCTGTGGACCTGTTTCGGCGCGTGCTCTGCCCAGAACCTCAAGGCGGTTCCAACCATGGCGACAAGACGCCTCCCCGAAACCGAACAAGACACGAAAAAACGCAAGCTTTGATCCTCGATCTCGCCGGCTCACCCCCTGGGGTCCTCCCCAGGGTGATGAAGGACGTTATGTCTCTGGCGGTTCCATCCTTGCGCCGGTGACGTTGAAACCGTTCCATAAAAGGTGCGCGAGAAGGATGGACAACAAAAAAAAAAAAAAAAAACGCTGGGCGGCCAACTACAAGACGACGTTGGAAGCCCGTGGCCCAGGGCTGCCGACGGCGGGATGGCCCGAGAGGTCCGGATGCAAGGGTACTTCCCCCCCCCGAAAGGCATTCTGCTATCTGCGCAAGCCAGAGTGCACCCACAGGCCGGCGCTAGTGTTGTAGCCTCCCGAAGGGCATCCTCGCACATGCCACTTGCGCTCGCTCGCGCGGGCGCGCGGCGGGAAAAAAAACGCAACGCTGCCGCGCTGCTGCGTCGGCGCGCGGCGCGCAGCTGGACGCCAATCAGCGCCGCGTAACTCGACGCCCGTCGCTAGCGGGATTGCCAGTTCGGCCGAAACGAGCAAGACGGAGAAGCAGGCGGGCCCGGGGCAATCCCGGCGCCGCCGCGGAGCGAGGGAAGCGGTAGTCGATGACTCTTTCAATGCGCACGGGCAGGAGGAACGCCGCTCCACTTCGGCGGCCCCGAGGCCGTCAGCCTCTGGAGCTGGAGGCACCAAGCTGGCGCTCGTGAGGAGAAGGGCTCGGTTCTGAGCCCCGCGGACGCGATGCCCTCCGCCTCTGCTGAGGACGCCTCCGCCTTCGCAGGCGACGTGCGAGTCGCACCCTTCGTTGGCGTTGTCGGTCTCGCTTTTGCCCGCGCCCTTGCTTCTCGACGCGGCTCGATTAGCCTCGGTCTCCGTCGGGGCCTGCGCCGTCGCGAGGCGCGCCGCGTTGACGGTCCAGTCGCACCCGGTTGACTCGCGCGCGCAGGAAGAGTCCGCCAATCACGCAGAGACAACGACCTTCTGGGCCTCGTCGACCTGCACCTCCTGCGTGAACTTCGAAGGTGGCTGGAAGTCCGCCTTCTGGCCTTTCTGCATCAGCTCCTCAACCTGCCCGGACTTGGAACCGTTCTCGGTGGCCCCCTTGCGGAAAAGGAGTGTTGTCCAGGATCGCTGCGTCCTTGTAGACGAACCCGAAGCGGCGCATCTCGATATTGTTATCGAAGTGGCCGTCGGTGCCGACGATGGCGGTGTCCTGCGCGCCGCGGGCGCGACGCCGCCGCCCCCTTTGCTGCCGCTTGACCCCCTTCCCGCGCTGGGGCATCGACTCCGCGTCCTCCCCGAAATGGCCATGCCCCGCGACGTTTCGGAGTCGCGTCGCCCTGCCATAGATCTCGATTGGCCCGCCACGGACCGCCACCTCGACCTTCGCTCGCAAGACGGGCTTGATGAGCTCGACCCGCGGCTGGATCTCGCGATCCACCTCCTTGCCCTCGGCCTGCAAGTTGCCGCCGCCAGCCTGGGCCGCTCGCCGGAGGGCCACCGCTCTGG